TTAGACTCAAAGTTTCGTGTATTTAGGACCTTCTGACGTCATTTGTGACGTCATTCTCTAGAAAATTTCAAAAACGATTTGGTCGAATTGACTTTAAATTTTACAGGCTTTCATAGGGGTACAAAATCCGGTCAGGTCAGAAATTTGCCTGCAAAAAGTTTTTTAAATTCATCTTTGTCATTTCATTCGCTAGCAAATTGCATGAGTACCCGCTTTTGGCCGAAACAATGTGAGCTCATGGTCGCCGCGATAATGGATTCTGGTCAAACTCGTCCGGAACAAAAAGCCGAAAGTCTATTCGAGCAGTTCCACATAAAGCTACAAGAGCAGCAGAGCCGAGGGTATCTGATCGACACTCATCTGGCCGAAATAGCATTTCACGAGGCGATGTTCTTGTCTGTAGTTCACAGCCCATGCAATTCACAAATTCGCGAAATCATCGACTTGCTCAAATATGTAGAACAATTTGGACCGGCGAAAAATCCGGCACCGTCGTCCTTGTACTTGCCAATGTTGACAGCTCAGCTTACAGAGATAAGATGAAAGAAGCCGCAAATTTCGAAAGACTGGTTGATGTCGAAAAGAGAATCGAAGAATACGTCAAAGAATACAAGAATTCGGAAGGCTTTGCGTAGGCTTGAGTAGAAACAACTGGAACTCGCAAGCTCACAGGCGGCGCTAAACATTCTCTTCTCATTATGCTCAAATGAAGATATCAGCAAGAAGTTGCGAGCTAGTGCATCGCTTTACATGGCGAATCTCCCAAGTGACATTTGCAACGTTGAATTCAATGCATGGTCGGACGATTTCTGGATGACAAATGACATTTTCGCTAACACGAGAAGGAACTCAGTGTGAAATCCTTACGAGATAAACCTAAAGGCAGCTGCTTACGAAGTTGACGACGACGAAGACGGTGATTTCTCAATGATGCGCCCGTCGATCATGAACTCGCGTTCCGTCTTTTATATTTTGAATGTGAGCCGTACAAATCTTGGAAAAGCGTAAGAAAAACCACGCCCTGTGATGGATGCGCCGATTGAAGAAGAGTCTGAAAAAATTTGTCAGAAGCGAATTCCGAAGATTACGATGATGTGCCACGTGCGATGTCTGACCCAGTTAAAATCGAAAGCTTTTGGAAAAAGACCTAGCTGAGTCACATTTGGCAAGTTGAAACCGCTCAATATACTATGAAAGCAAGCGCATTGTGTCCTAAAGATGTTAAAGTACGAATAGAAGCAAGACAGTGGATGTTGAATTCGATTGGATCCACCGACGAGCAGCTCGCATTTACTGTCCTTGCTCAACTCCAACGCGCAAAGACTTCAAAATTTTGCCAGCGACTGCTCTCACAAGCTTGCAATGCTCCAAATGCTTCTCGTCTTGCGTATTGCATTTGACTTCTTTTTTCTCAAATCTATGGCGACAGCGACATGAATGGAACGCTCTGGTCATCGATTGACAATTTCCAGTCATGGAGAAAATCGAAATTATTCCAAATTTTTCCGATTGGAAAGATGCCCTATTCATGTCTAATTCTTCAACATGTTGATGGATTTCTTTTTGCTGGTCTTTTCAACGCAAACGCTAAAGATGTGCGAGTTGTTAGAGCAAGAGCGAACTTGGCCGATCTGAAGAGCCTCCAAGACGAAGTACGAGATATTTGACAGAATCCTCTCTCTGATTTCCTGAAGAAAGAATACAACCCAAAGCCTGAAGAGAAAAAGTCATTAGTCAAACCTGCCGATGCATCCGCTCCCGCAGACGAGAATAAGGCCGAAGATGAAAAGAAAGATGAGAACGAGAATTATAAAGACGAATATGATGAAGAAGAGGTTACTTATGCACGAGAGAAGCTCATCAAGTACCTGAAAAACATCACGGCTCAGCTTGAAGACGACATGACAGAAATTCCAAGGGATCAGCCATTCATTTTTATTGCATTCTTATCTCAACACCGTTTTCTTTGTTGATCGCAGTCCAGAGCCCTCTTCATTCATTCAACAGAACAGTTTGGATCTTGAGCGAGATCCAGTCGTCATTATAGCGGAGAGTTACCTCAACTCCGTTGCCCTGCTTTCGCTTTCTGGAGTTTCTTCTTTAATCCACAACCAGTGGAGTTCCGACCAGGAATCAAACGAATGGAGATTGAAGGTAATCGTCAATAGAATGAGCTCAGGCACCTCTCCTGTCGACTGCATTCTCCACATTCGAAATCCATCTTTGAAACAAGTCAAAGAAGTCAAGAAGCCTGCGAAGAAGGAAAAGAACATGCCAAGTCCTTAACCCTGCATTTGAACCGAATGTCAAGCTTTCAACCCTGTTATTTACGGAATTCCTGCTGCTTAATATTCAAGCAGATATATTTTTGTACAAATTAAAATTTATCAAATAAATAGTGATGTGTATTTAACTGCAGATTGTTATAACAAATTCGGCATTTAAATTCCCTTTTGAACTTAAAAATTTCAAGAGTAAAAACATGATTCAAATAGTCTGATTGTCAATCAGTGATTCAGTATCGTTGTTACAAAATTTAAGAGTAATCAAATTACTCGAGCTAAAACTTTCAGTTGTGAAGCAGTGTGGAGATAAAGAAGTTTGTATTTTGGTGATAGTGATGCAGCATCCTCAGCTCCTCATAATTTCACGATTTTGAGATCTTAGACGACGTTTGCTTTAGAAGCTTTTTCGTAAACGAAGGAACCGCTAAATAATAGTTTTTACCAACCTCGCAGTTTTTCTGCAGACAATTCCCCGTCCATTAAAATTCATTGATATTTAACATCAAAACCAGAAAAAAAGATGGTTAGGGAGCTCTAACGGGAAGGATTGCTGCTCTTTGGTCCCTTTGTCCGCCTCTGACTAAACCAACTAATGGACAGGTGGTCTGTGATCAAGCAACTTGTGCGCTTGTTTGCGATACAGGTTTGTATTAATGAGACTCAAGCGTTTATTTATACCTCAGGATTTATTCCCGTTAGCAAGCGTAGAACGAAATGTCGGTGGAACCAAACAGATAGCTTTTTCTGGAAGAAACAACTCAGCAAATGTGAAACCTGCGAAACTGACCTTGCAGCTCCTCAAGCAGGAACGACTTTGACATGTGGTCTCAATTCGATGGACAAGAAAAAATGCACCTATTAATGCGAAAACGGAGAGGAGTTTCAATCTTCAAGTGGTAATTTCAAGCAATTTTTTGCAGTTTGCGCTTGTCCAAGATTGAACGGAAGGATTTGCGGATGGAATGCGAGAAAACTTGGTGGGATGATTACTTGTGCTGATATCACGCCTCTGTCTTGCCCAGCAGCTCCAACTTTGACAACAGCTCGACCGGCATCTACCACATAATCTTCCAACGTGTCCACTTCTGCTTAGACAACATCAACTGCCGCTTCTTCAGCTGCGACAACAACAATGTATTATGATTTTTTTCGAGCCCTTTATGAACCCAATTTTAAGTCTCGAGCTTCAACATTCAATTATTTGGAACGACGAAATACGGAAAGGAGCCTGTCAAGAATAAAATCGTCGAGATTCTCCAGTGCTACGATATCGCTACTATCCGGGCAAATTCAGAAATAAATTAACAAAAATATATACGAAAATTAGGAAATAAGAGATATCTCCGAAACAGCATTTCCAAGTCTCGTTAGAGACATCAACATAGCCGTGGACAAGAATGATTGGTTCACCGGAGAGCGTCAAGGAAAAACTTCAAGCTCAAAATTTTGCGCGGGAAAGGGCGGCGCTTGAACAAGGCCTGAAAATTTGCGCGGGAGCGGGGGGCACGGGAAGGATTTCCCCTCTCTTTTGCTCCCGCGGGAGCCCGCGGGAGAGAAAAGTCAACGTGAAGGCTGGTTTTAAAAGGTCTTCACTAAGGAAGAAGCCTGAGTCAGGTCCCTTAGACAATTTGACAATTGAGAAATAAAATTGAAATATAAAATAACATAAATAAATACCATAACAAAGCTAAGAACATGAACAATATTAACTTTCACATTGAATGGTGGTGGGTGGGGTTTTGGTTCTGATTGATTTGGAGACAACAAGGATTCAAAAAACTAAGCGCTTTTCAAATTAAAAACTCGATCTTCTGAAGAAAGATTCATTCTTGAGTTCAAAAATGCAGCCAAATTGAACTGTTATTTTTCATCGAAAAAGTCTTGAACTCGAAAAGTGGCGCCTAGTCTGAATAATTATTCAGACTACATATTAAGTGTCCTCTTCGCCGCCGAGAGAGAGGGTCTCCTCGTTCTTTTGGGCAGCCTTCTTGAACTCCTGGTTCTTCTCCAGGTTAATTGACTTAACCTTCAGATATCGGCTGTATTCCTCCGTTTTCTGAGTGAGCTTCTGTCAAAGAGTACAAGTCAAACTCAAACTCTCTTAAAAAGTCTCCCTCACGAGTCGTGAGCCACGATGTCTGCCTCCTCAAGATTCCAAACGTCAAACAAGCTCTTAAAATAACGGGTGTAGGGCGGCTTCGTTCCCAATTTGCGAACGCCGTTCGTTATCTTGCGAACGCCGTTCGAAACGAAAAAACTTTCCGTGAGTGTGCGCTTCGCGCATTTTCTGGTAGAGAATTCATTGGCTTGGCAGGAGCAGTCTTTCTCTAGCGCTTGGACACCTTTTGAAAAAAGTTGTGAACGATTTCCGGCCAAAATTTTTTCGATTTTGCGAACGCCGTTCGCAAAATGGCCTTTGCGAACGAAGCCGCCCCCAACCAAAATAACTTCGGCGCTGACAGCCCAGAAACTTATTCTTAATACTTATCCAAAAGCTTAAACTTATCCGAAATTGCCCCTGCTTGCCTACCAGCAGATCTCGTTGCCGACGGTTCTTACCAGAGTTGGTAAAAAGTATACTTCACTCGCCCTTCAGAATGAAGTATACTTCATGAAGTATACTTCAGGGCGTTGCAGGGCGCTGAAGGGCGTGAAGTGTACTTCCGCCCTTCCCTCTACTTCAACCGCCCTTCCGCCCTTCACTCTGCTTCAACTTGGTTCTGTCGGCCATCAGAATCCATCCGCCAGAATTTTTTCAAATTTTGCGCTTATTGGCTCTCAGGCGCCATGATATAAATCACGCCGATTGTGGCAGATGAAGTGGCAGCTAAAGTTGTCGATAAGAACCGATAGCTGAAGTATACTTCAGCGCGTGAAGTATACTTCAGAGCCATTTCGTACTTCACCGCCCTTCAAGAATGAAGGGCGCCCTGCAGATTTTTGAAGGGCGGGGGGAAGTATACTTTTTTCCAACTCTGGTTCTTACTGTAAATAAGCTGGTTATGGTTGATTCCCCAGCAGGCGAATGGGAAACTCAGGTTTCTAAAATTTCTAAGAGAAAAGAGAGCAATCGCTTTTATTTTTGCTTTATTTTGGAACTCGATAAACCAGAAAGAAAACGCAAGAAAAGTTAATCTCGCCAAACAGTCGTTTCCTAGTTATTTTTGTTCCTCCATGATTTCAATTTTTATTGTTCGTTATGAAACGAAATGATGAGTTCAAAAGAAAGAGAAATTTATTCTTAATCAAGAAGAAGCAGAATTAAAATCACAGTTGAAAGTCGAAAATGAAAGAAAACTGATTTCAGACGCAGAAGTCGGCCGTTACTTCCAAGATGGCTGGTTTGTAGCTGGTAAACTCGTGTGCGCCGATGACCTGTGTTTCGATGATTTCGTCGTTCGCAACTTTGATTCTCTCCACCGGGTAGAGGCCATTCGAATCTTTTTGGTTTCCATTGACTTGATATATGTAGTTTCCAATCTTCAATGCTGAGCCAAGACGAGAGTTCTAAATGAAAGATCAACATGAATTTTCAAGCGAAATTTCGTCTCACCTCTTTTAGAGATCCAATAAGCGTCCAAACTTCTTCTTTCAATAGCCAAATGTCTTTGTTGTAATCTCCACTCGTGTAATCGTATCCACCTACCATCAACATCGCTCCACTCTCAAGTCCTGTAAGAGTATGACCATTCATATTCCTAAAATAAACTCATTAAAATCAAAGAAGTTGAAATTCTTTACCTGGGATGATCTGGCAAGCTTGTCCATCCAGAAGTCGAGTAAGTCTCGACTTTTTGGTGGCCGTCGCTGTTACCGCCTCCGACTGTTGTTGGCTGGCCTTTGTAGTATCCCAGATCGACATAATTATGCGAAAATTGGGCTGAATGAGTTGATCTTGAGCTGGTTCCATCAAAAAGATCGCATCTCTTCGCAATAAAATAATCAAAGCAGACCAGTGCTAAAAACGGGGTTCAGGAAGGTGAGGAGGCCAAATATGCAGGTGGTCACACCTCGTTGTCTCGGGACCGTGCAGATGCGAGCAAGTGCGGCGGATCAAAATCCTTCAAGTAAGGCAATCCCATAGCGCTCCCAGTAGCCTCCAAAAATGTACATCTGTCCTTGAACCACAGCAAAAGCACTTCTTCGAGTGTAGTTCTCTACCGCTGCTTCAATGGTCGCAGAGTTCTTTGTCAGTCCGTCGCCGGAGAAGACATAAGAATCCGCCAATTAGTTATAGCCAAGAACCAGAATATTGACATCGCTCTAAAAAATAAATTCTCATCTAAAATTCTATTTCAAACAAACCGGTTCATTCGAGGCGATCGTTGACGTACTCATCGTCGTTGTTGTCGCCGTTTCTTCCTAAAAGAGAAAATAAGAACGTTAATTCTTCTTCTTTTCAAACCTGAACACAAGGACATTCATCGAGCTCTTCAAGGAAAGCGGCGTTGCATTCTTCGAAGCAATTTCTTTTCGGCGGGCAGTTTCGAGTACAGCTTGCCTAAAAATATACTAAATTTCAATTAAAAGAGCTTTTTCTCACCTGATTTTCCAAAGCTGCTTCTCGACAGTTTATGAAGTCCAGATTTTCCGTCTTGGCGTTTTCACATTTATCGCCGCAGATATCGTTTTCGCAGCCAGCACAACCATTTGGGCAGTTTTCTCCACAAGGGCAGGAAGCGCCGCATTCTAAATTCATTCAAGTCAATATTCTTAGATTGATTTTTTACCTTTGAACTGATTTGAACATTCAACATCGCAGGAAGCATTGTCACAATTTGTGGAGCATTGAAGATAAATGGCTCGGCAAATTTCGTAACACTGATCGAACAGTTCTTGATCGCTGAATTCCGATAATTAGAGTTTTGTTCATGCTTAAGGAGGTAGTCCCCGCTTTGACGAAAGTCAAAATATAAGAATTTTCTATGGATATTCCGAAAGCTCAAAAAAAGAGCTTCAAAATTTGTATTGATCATTTTTTGTAAACTTCAGAGAAAAGTCCTTAAAATCACATTTGAAAGTTAAGATTTTTATAATAAAATTTAATAATTTGAAATTTTTTGACTTTTACATCCAATATTTACGGGCATTTATGATGTATTTTGATCCCCAAATTATACCAAAATAAATATTTATGACTGATATTTAGATTAAAATAGGTTTATCTTACTTCAAAAACTCCGATTTTTCAATTATTTCAGACCCAACTTTAGATCGAAAGTTTTACGTTATGACTTCTTTGAGTTTCTTAATATCGTTGGGTGGCAACTCTAGACGAAGGAATTAGCTTCTTACATATATATTTCGTTAAAATTTATTTCAATATTTTCACGGTTTTACGTGTGTTTGAAAATAGGCCGAAATGGCGATTTTTCTCGGGTTGAGTTAGAATATGAGACCCTAGCTCCTTAGGCGGTCAAGAAAAAAGTCTTTTGCGAACTGGCAACTCTAGAACAAGGTTTGACCGTTCTTCACATATAGTTTTCATCCTTCAATAACAGCCCAAATTGGTCTGATCGCTGTTCAAAAAGTGCCGAAATCGCAAAAAGCAGGGACTACCTCCTTAACCCTAACCGGCCAAAAATGATTTTCTTCGGGTACCGGCCAAGAGGCGCCAAATATGGCGCCGGACCGCTTTTTTAATAGAAAGAATCGATATTTTTTCATAAAAACTTTCAAAAAATATATTAAAAATCATTTTGTCAACATAATCATGGATTATTTGAATAAATTCTAATAGAATCATGAATCCGAAAAAATTTTCTCGCTTATGATCATTGAGGAGAAAAGAGTCAAAAATTGATTTCGGATGAAATTAGCAAAGTAATGTTTTTTTCTGCTTGTTTTCCAAATAATCTTATTTGAGCATAAAAATGAAAAAAAAAACTAGTTTTATAATATTTACTTCGAGAAAAACTTATCGGCCCGCTGCCGGGAAAAAGCTCGGGTACCGGTCAAAGGACGCCATATATGGAGTACCGCCTGTTATGACCCGGCGCCATATATGGCGCCTTGAGTTTTCGAGAGAATAAGGCTCTGCCAAGATTTTGGTCAACTTGAAATGGGTTAAAACCCCTACCAGTCGAAAGGCGATCGAAAAAAGCTCCTCAAAGTGGATTTCAAATAAATTTTCTTTCTTTAATTTTTGGAGTTAAATGCGATTGAATGACCCTTGATCCAAAATTGGAGTACCTTGACCGGCTAAGGTTAAGCAAGAATTGAGTATTATTTTTAAGTAAACTTACACGCAGTTGTCAGAAACCATTGTAAAATTCATTTGAGAAATGAATTCGGCCTGATTTTCAACCAAAAGCTCGTCAAATTTTGTGTTTTCATGCAAATGCTCGAATGGAGTCAAAAACGCTTGTTTAGCTGGAACAGGAGCAGGAGCAACTTGCTGAATTTGAATTGGTTGTTGAATTTGAACCTGGGTACCGCAAAGACCGCAAGTTGAAGGACAGAGGTTCTGGATAGAAGCGTTGTTACAGACTGACTTCCAAGCAGAGCAGCTAGAGAATTTGTCGGCGCAAGAGGTCTGTTGAACGGGAGCCTGGTAGGCTGGGACTTGGTAGATTGGCTGGAACACTGGCTGAACTGGAGCGAGCTGAACCTGCTGAACTGGGCGCGGGAAGAAGTTGTAGGCAGGCTTTCTAAAGAGAACTTGCTGGGCTGGATCGACAAAGACTGGCGCAGCTGCAGCTGGGGCAATTGGTTCCTGCTTCTCGTCTGGTTCTGGAGCGACTTGAGCTGGAGCAGCTGGAGCTGGGTACTGCTGAGAGACGGAAGATACGCCACCGCATTTGCCACAAGTCTTGGCGCAAATTTTATCGATCGATTTGACACCACAGGCGTGCTTCCACGAGCTACAACGGAGCAAATCATCTTGACACAAAGGATCTTCGACAGAGACGATCTGAGCGGGCATGGGCTGAGATTGTGTCTGGCTGGATAGGGTGAACATTGAGAACGGATTCTAGAAAGCTTCCACTTCTAGAATTTTTTTATTAGCGCGTTTTTGAGGGCGCTAGAGAATTATAAAGCGCGCGAGGCTTTTACTTACGGTTTTGCGCGGTGAGCGTGGCGAGGAGGGATGCTTGGATCCTCATTTTGATGGTTTTGATTTGATGTGATGGAGAATTTGACTTTTTTGGGATAAGCAACTGTTCACTTAATGAAAAAATTTGATGGCTTTATTTTGGAGGGGCTATGAATTTTATTAAATCATGGAAAATACTCAAAATGATGAAGAAAATGAGCGGAAAACAGCATTTTTTTGTGAAAGGAATTTCAGGGTCCTCAATAAATTGTTATCTAGACCTAAATTTCGATTCTTGTTCGTTAAGTTTTTATGCCTTCCGCTAGATTTTTCGATATTTCAAAATTTTGAGGCACTCCTCGTTGATTTCAAAAACAAAAAAAAAAATAGTGGACTCTAGAAATCTCTCAATACAGTGGTGAATCCTCGATTGGGAAGGACGCGCTGAATCCTCGATTGGGAAGCGGCAGCGCATATAGCAAGCCAATCTCTAGAGAAGTGTAGTTTTTTTCTCTTTGGCGCTTTTTCCCACCCTTGACTGAGAAACAAAAAAGGGATATACAGGGTGTTGAAAGTGGTTGATAAGGAACTGTTCTACAAAAATGAAACTGTTCTGCAATAAATGGAACTATTCTGTCCATATATGGATCAATCTTTTTTTTCGGGGCAATGCATTGAAACCATCGGTAGGACGAGAGAATAACTTATCATCCAGCGACAAAATTTCAGGGGTTGGTAGCACGCTGCGGGCCTACGGCCGGGGTAAAAGCATAAATTATGCTGCATAATGCTCCGAACCCCATCCGCCAGAGGGCGCGCCGAAAAGAGGTGGAACCCTTGCGCGCAAATTCTGGTAGATAACTCATTTTGCAGGACGGTGCCGGTACCAATCCAAAATTGGTACCCGGGGCCAAATTTGTGGTACCCGGTACCAAAAAAATTCCAGGATACCGAGCCAAACTTGATTTTAAAAGGTGTATTTGGTCAATAAATGAAGTTTTCTTACACTTCAGCCGCGGAGCGGACATAAGTTTTTTGATAGGTCAGAAAAAATGTTTGACTTTGGTACCGGGTACCAATTTTTGTTATCGGGTACCAATTTTGGTACCGGGTACAAATTTGGTTCCGGCACCGTCCGTCTCCCGGGCCGAAGGTTGTGACCGGTTTTTTTTTTAAATGTAGTATGGAGCTAGGTTCGCGTGGTCCCTTAAATTTTAAAACCAAGGAACGGGGCCGTCAAGCCCCTTTAATTTAGAAACCTTCTTCCCCGCTGCTCCCGCAGCCCCGCGGGAGCATTTTTGAGTTTTCGCGGCGTGGGAAGGGGCGGGAAGAAGGCATGAAAATTTACGGCGGGAGCGAGGGAGGGGGGGAGGGGGAAAGAATATCCAAATATCTTGGGGGAGCGAGGGGCGTGGGAGAAATTTTGCTCCCCCCGCTCCCACAGGGGCTTGCGGGAGCTTGCGGCGCGGGAAATTACGAACTCTGGTGACGAGCATGGTCACGGAAAACGAAATAAATCGCCTTCAAGACGTCGAAGACGATCTTAGAAGTTGCCATCCAACCCTTAATGATGACATCATTAATGGCGATTTCAACGCAGACTGCGACTACATCCGTGATCCGCAAGATTTGACGTTATTCTCTTCCGGAAATTACACGTGGCTTATTTCATTTGATGACGACATCCTTTTTCAACACTGATTCCATCTTTTTTAATGACGATCCCATAACCGAGCTAGTTTCGGATCGTTTTCTGTCGAGTTTGAGTTCTTTAAAAATCAATAAAACAAGACTAAACTTATTTTGAGGTTTCTCAATAACTGGAAAAATTTATTGAAATATTGTATGGTTACAACCGTTTTTCATGAATATTTTTTTCATTTATTCATCGTGATGGCTTTTAATAATTTTGAATGAATAACGTTTATTTGACGGCAGAGTACCGAGGTAGGCGATCAAACAATTCATTTTTATCCTAGTTTTTTTCATTTATAGCTGCCTAAAAGGAGAGAGAAGACTGACAGTTATAATCAAAACTGCCATATCGAATCGACAGAGCCGAGATATTCTTCGCGATTGCTATTTGAAAATTAAACGAAAACTGTTTGAAGAAAATAATATTGAGTTGTCTCATTATTTCGTCGTCGGCAGTAGAGAAGACTAAAACTTTGAGGAAAGAGCTAGAAATGTTAAAAATCTTCAATAATTTGAAATTATCAAAAAGCTCGGAATAGGACGCGAATGACATCATTATTGGAAATTTCGAAGATACTTATGCCAACTTGCCCTACAAAACAAAAGCCCCCTACGAATACTTTTCTTTATGTGAAAACAAGGAAGACAACGATGAAAATAGAACGCTTGCCATCCACGAGGAAGATACTTCGGTGGACATTGTGGAGATAGTGAAGCTCTTTGGAGAGTGAGTCAGAAACAAGTGGATGGATTTTATCAAAAGGATTTAATGTCAACGAAGAAATCTGGCCGTATGATTACTTGCCAAATTATATCAGTGGACCTTGTGTAATCATGTCTTCGGAGGCAGCGATGAAGATTTCTTTGTCTGCTAGGTTTTGTTAAATAGATATTCCGTTTATCATGATGTCAACTTTAGTAAGTTCAAGATAATACCCGAAATACCTGTCGAAGACGCAGTATATACTAGCATCTTGCGAGTAAATTAAGGCCTGAAACTCGGACGGTTGGGATGGCTTTTCAATAATCACAAAAATTATTGTCTTCACACAGAAAATCAAATAAAAAAAAACTAGACAAGAAGATAGATGAAACCCTTACCTATTTGAACTTTATGTAATGTTCAACAGTTCCTCAGGAATAAATGCAAAATTCGAGCTTGAATGTGACGAGGTAGAGATGTTTGAGACGCTCTGGGAAGGTAATTAGATATTTGATCGGCAGGATGCAAGAAATCTTTCAGGAAGAGACATTCCGAAGCTAGAAAAGATCAAGCATGAGAAAGCAGTAGCCTTTTGCAAATCAAAACAGACCGCGAAGAAGAGAATTTCTCAGCACGCAGCTAAGTCGTCTTTGTTTTATCTGACTGGACAGCTGACGAAATTCAACGAAAAATTCAGGGTGAGTGATTTCCGAAAAAATGTCTTGTTGATAAATTTTAGAAATAAAATCACATAGAATGCACGCACCATTCTGATCCGCTCAAAATCACCAAATACCTGTTCATCATCGATTCCGACTTGGTCGACAAGGAAAGGTTGAATAGAAACATAAGTAGAAGGGATGAATGAAATATTTAACGGTCGCTAAAGGCAGACTCCGAATATTTAGAAGAACTGTATTTGCGACAGATTATCACGAAAACAGCGAAATGGCTCAAACATGGCTCGAATGAATCTGCGACTGGCTAGAGAAGATCGAAAGGTTTTATTTGTTAACCTTACCAGAACCATGTAAAAGATCGAGAAATTCATTTCCGTTGGCTTAAAAGTAGGCCAGCGTCAAAATCGCTCATCAAGAGTTCGAACCGTATTGACAAAGCATAGAATATTTTCATTCTTGTTACACCACTGTCTCACGTAAACATCCCTCATGGGACAGTAGTAAGTAGCTGGTACATCAAAGACGCCAGCAAATGCGTATTCGAGAGCGGCTCCGTAGCGGCCAATGTTGTTCATATTCATCTATATTTTGACTTGATGATTAAGAGTCAAAATAACCTGGATCATCATGGAAAGCGAAAATAATAAAAGCTCGATGCAGATTCTGCAAAGAAGATGGACTAAAAAAGCGAATCGAATTTGTGGGCTCCAGACCACCTCAACCACTTTTTCCCAATCACTCGCAGTTTTCGTTTTTCTTTTCTTGTTTTCATAACTTCTCGGTTCGTCAGCTTGGATTCTTTTGAAACAGATTTGTCGATTGTGTGATCTGATCAAAAGATCGTAGACTTTTCTTCAAGCTTTCTTCTCTTCGCATCTAAAGAATGGTAGTGGTTTCTCGTCGAAAATCGGAGCAAACGGTACCTAATCGTCGCTTTCAATCTTCAAGATAAATATAGCTCGTAAAAACAAAACTTGGAAAAAGCGTTGCGATCTTTAAATTGACTCATTTTTTCTGTCGAAATCAAGGAAGAGTACGATCCTTTGAATCCTTCCCAATTGAATTTGCCAAAGCTTGTCCAGTCCGATCGGCATAAAATTATTGTAAAAAGCATTCTGGCAACCAAACAAAACCGTGTCGCATTAAAAGTCGTCTAAAGAGCCTGTCCAGATCGCCGGACCAATCAAAGCAGCCATTCCTAGTCGAAAGCCACCAGTAAGGACGTACCATAGGATGTCAAGACGGGTACTATACAAAAGTGCTAGAATACTGTCACGTAGGGAAGTTCATTAAGAAAACCTGTATTGAAGTATTCAATCAATGTTTCTGCAAGAGCGAGCCCCATTTTTTTAATCTGATCGAAATTCGCTGCGTTAGGATATTCTCTCGCCAAGAAAAAGAGAGCAAGGATTCAAGTCCTGCTTTTATGGAGCGGACGGTGGCTGTCGATATCGTGTGCGCGCTAGACCGCATAAGAGGAATGAACATTCTCTTCCATTTCTTGCGAAAACAATAAGGGTTCATTATAAGGGGACGCCTCTCCCCCTGATTGCCTTATGCTCAATTCGGGTTAGGGTTAGGGTTAGCGATCCTGGCAATCATTGACAATAAGCTATTAATAAAAGCTTATTATTGAACCTGAATTTATAGACATAGTATTTGATTCAAGGAAACAAATAATTCTTCTTCTTAATTTGTATCAACAGAAACTACATTTGCGTTCTCGACCGAGTTTATCAAACAATGTTCCAGGAGTCGATAATTTATCAGCTTTTTCGATCGCGAGTGCATCCTCAACCGTAAATTACTCGCATTTTCGTAGACTAAAAAGCTCGTACCGGCGATAT